ATTATGCGACAGACAACTGTGAGGGGTGAGAAGAGGGGCATACACTGGTTGGACCGATGAAAAGACCTCAGAAGAAGATTTGGATTTCTCCGGTGATGATTTATGTCTAATGTCTTGTCGCACAAACTCGGAGATCTACAGGCAAAAACTAACAAGTTGGCAGTAGAGGCGAGGCATCGGAGGAGGATGGGACTTCCTTCAGGTGAAGGTAGACAAGACAAAAGTGTTGAAGATACCCAACCACCACCACCAACAACAAGCACCAATCACCATCGAAAGAAGAAATCTAAAGGAAGTAGTCTATTTCACTCACCTACCTAGGCAAGATCGTCTCAACTACAGGCGGTGGCGGCAGTACATATGACGACGTGAAAGTCAGGATTGGAAAGACAGTAAGACAGGTCTCCATCAGTGTGAAATCAGTGTGCAGATCCACTGCACTGCGCTTAGCATAAAGAACAAGATCCGAATTTTCAACACTAATACCAGTCAAGTCAGTGCTTGTATGTGATGGTTGAGAGACTTGGCGGAGCGTTACAAAAAGTATTCCCAACAAACTACAGACATACGTTGACAGCAACTGCCACCTACACTCACTCGATACTGACATTTAAGATTGTATAGATGACCAGAATAATATGAATAAGGAAGGAGGAAGTCTGACTGACTGGCTGGCTGACAAGTAACCAACCAACCGAGAACGTATCGTCCAAAAAATATGCAGAAGGAAGTGGAGGTGGATTGGACATACACTGAGAAGACAATTCGGGGACATCAAGCACCAGGCACTCGAGTGGAACCCAGATGGGAAACGACGAGTTGGGCGTTAGGAAGAAATGAAAGCTTGTGGGCAGTCGTGGAGCCAGGTTGAAAAGACTGCAGAGAAGAGAGTGGAATGGAGACATGCTACTGATTCCCTATGTTCCACTAGGAACCCAAGGAAAAATAATAAATAATAATAATAATATGACTTAAATGCGTATTTACTGATGTTACTAGGTCCAGTTAGAAACCGTTCTAAATCAAGATTTGCTAATTCCTATAGCCTGAAGCACAGGACTGGATGGCATACATTTAGATGAAGATGAAAAAATGGTTAATTTTGATTTGGTTAGTTTGTACACTAACATGCCGATTGGCATAGTTCTGGAGGCAGTTGGAAACGAGCTTAATAATAACCATTAACTTAAACTATGAGCTAAGGTACCACTAGATGATATCATGCTAGGACTACAGCTATGCCTAACTTCCACAATCATTAGGTTTCAGAATAAAATATACAAACAAACAGAAGGAGTTGCCATAGGATCACCAATATCCCCCTACTGTGACTGATATATTACTCATGGATAGTTGATAACCTATAGCTGTAGCAACAATTAGTTCAGCTGCAAAAATATAGTCTCGATATGTAGACAATGTGTTCACAGTGATGAAATTGGAGCACATAAACACTTTCTTCACACATATAAATTCAGTGGTCAACGCAATTCAACTCACCTATGAAATAGAAAATATTTAAGGAGAATTAGTGATGTTGGATTGCAGAATTGAAAGGAAACAAGATGAAAGTTTAGACGTACTAGTGTCCACAGAAAACCTTCACATTCAAATCATTGCTGAGACTGCGAATCGTCTCACCCTAATGTCAGTCAGTTACAGTTGGCTCAGTAAAGTCTCCAATTAACACGACCAAAACATTTACTAGTAAAATACAAAATGTAAGACAAGAAACTAGACATTTTACTCATCAACAATTACTCACCCAAACTAATTGATAAGTTGCTTAGTAACACAGGTATTAATAGTAGTGACAACAGTGTGAAGAGAGAATGCAAAACCTCTACAGTATTATCGTACAATGAAGGCACCTCAAAAACACCATATAGGATTCTCCTTAAGGCTGCCTGGAATTAGAGTGGTATTTAAACCTACAAACTCACTTCGAAATAAGCGTTTTAGGCTAAAACATCCTATTGATACAATTAAGCAGAATAATTTAGTTCACCGAATCCCTTGCAACAATTGCGAGGTTGTCAAATACATGGATCAAAGTAGTCGGTCGATCAAGGTCAGCTGCTAGGCTACCCAAACACACAGAAACCTAGATAGGCCAAAATTGGTAGATTCTAGTAAGGCAAGGCATTTAGGAAAAAGCTCAACCACTGCTATGCATGCAATTACACACAAACACACAATAGAATGGGACAGGGTAAAAATCCTTAAGTTGTTATTCATCGTAGACTGACATCAGTTGGAGGAACAAAAGAAACCTGACAGCACTGGACAGCTGTTTCTTCCGACTAGTATAGGACTCCTCAGCAGTGGGCAACCACGACCCCACCCCTCCTTGGGTCGAACCCGCGACCTTCAGGTTCCGCGGCCAGCGCGTTACCATTGAGCCACTGGGTCAAAATCCAATGATCCATATTTTCAACTTCTGTTAGCTCACGATATAGCGCATCTGCCACCCAATGTCATCGTTGAGTAACTGTCCTCACGACCATCAGGCTTTGACTCTACCGGTCCTCCAACTGATGTCAGTCTACGATGAATAACAACTTGAAATATTTCCAAATCTCCACAACTCCCTCACAATTCAATTGAATTGGTGCTCATTGGTGACTAGCTTCAAGAAGTATTCCCGAAGTTCCAGTGAGAAGTCGTCACCGGTGGGGGCAAAGCCTGATGGTCGCGAAGACAGTTACTCAACGATGACATTGGGTGGCAGATGCGCTATATCGTGAGCTAACAGAAGTTTGAAATATGGACGGTCGGATTCTGACCCAGTGGCTCAATGGTAACGCGCTGGACGCGGAACCTGAAGGTCGCGGGTTCGACCCAAGGAGGAGTGGGGTCGTGGGTGCCCACTGCTGAGGAGTCCCATACTAGTCGGAAGAAACAGCTGTCCAGTGCTCCCAGGTTTCCTTTGTTCCTCCAACTGATGTCAGTCTACGATGAATAACAACTTGAAATATTTCCAAATCTCCACAACTCCCTTAAAAATCCTTAAAACCAACATAACAGGGTAGAGGGAGAAATTGATGACTGAATCTTTGTTTAACGGACCAATACCTAATATATGAAGCAACACGAATGATTCGGCACCTGTTCCAGATATATTGGAAATCCTACTACTCATATCACAAAGGTAGGGGCGAGGAAGTTAGGACTACATAAAGGATATCTCAAAGTTATCTTGACATGTCTATGTACAATAAACTATGTCCGAAACGTAATCCAGTAAGCGCATCAGTTATAATGTGTGATGAGTCTAATAAATCGATAAAAATGGACCCCTTATTAAGAGTTATCTGCTCCTATGTGCAGTTAGTGTTGACTGGAATATTGAATTCGTAAACTCGATCACTATGATGTAACCTAACATAGGTTTCAATCTGTTAGGCTTACTGACAACCATCTCTCTATCAAGCATGCTCATATCATAAATCAACTGTTAACATTTAAAGTAGTAATGGACGACAGTGGAATTCAGTCTACAAACAATCATTTCACCTCTACTTCTGACGTCGAAATACAACTGCCGTGAGTAAAGAAAAATTGACTGGTGAACTATATTTGCAGTCACGCAGAGATTTATCGTCGACCGTAAAGATTACCACACTACACTTGTCCACCTAACCTTCTTTTCTATGAATTCTTACGATTGAAATCCACCTATTCACATCACACGATAACCGTGTTACCATAAAGATAAATATTTATAGTGTTATTTCTTGTATTACACCGTCGTTGATTAGACCGAATCGATCGGTCTCTGTTAGCATATGGGCTCCTGCACGGATGCTTCGATATTGCCTATGTTTTAATTATGTATAGTAATGATGCGCAATGGGTAACGCTCTTGCGTTTAAAGCGATCACTCCCGAGCCCGAATCCCGGTGGAAACAACATCACTCTGCACTGGGAGGCAAATACATCCAGTTGACGAGTCTCGCATAGGACAAAATCCGCATCCTGGATTCCACTGCTAGCCATTGCCCATCATTACTATACATAATTAAAACATAGGCAATATCGAAGCATCCGTACAGGAGCCCATATGTTAACAGAGATCGATTGATTCGGTCTAATCAACGACGGTGTAATATAAGCAATAACGCTAAAACTATACCCGTCGCACAAGAAGTAGCTATCGTGACTTGGTGGTGTAGTGAATAACGGTCTTGAGTTTGAAGCGATCGCTCCCAAGTCCGATTCCCGGTGCGAGGCAGGTACATCCAGCTGACGAGTCTTGTATAGGATGAAATTCGCATCCTGGATTCCACTGCTAACCACTATCCATCATTACTGTAAAGATATATGTTAAAACCTAGAAATTAGAAGCTTTCACTTCCTTTCAATTATTGAACTTGACAACGATAACTATAATATGACATGTTGTATCACAATAATAATCAATTAAAACATTAACAATGCTTAGAAAAGAAAGAAAATAGTACATATTATTGTTTCATTTTCCATTGACTTTAAATGATTAAACGCTGAATTGAATTTACTCTGAGTATAAAATAACCAATTATTATTTTAAAAGGTTAATTCACGCGCGCACGCGCACACACACACACACCTACAGATTTTATACTTTCATTATTTTAAACAAATCGGTAACTAACTAGACAAACTTCTGTGTACACATTTAAATGTACAATGAAAACCAAAAGAAAATTGTGTAGAAAAGTTAAACAATTGAAGATAATTAGCATAAAAGCCTGGGTGATATAGATGATCAACCAATATTTTGATTGGTTGATACTTTCAATGTGATACTATGTCTCGTATAACATTTAAACGTCCGCCAATTTATATATATTCAATTTTAGGAGGACGAGGCAGCGACAGGAAGAGAAAGAAATGATTTCCATTCCCTCATTAACATTTTGACGTAATAAAGAAAGTGGATGAAAATATTACAAGAAGATAAAAAAGGCAAATTTATAGAAAAAAAACTAATCATCACCTTTAATTATTCTTTCTTTTCAATAATATTCTTATCCATTTGAATAAATTGAGATTTTAAACAAGCATTCAATTGTTCCCAATTTTGTGTTAATAACCATTTAGTATGATTTAATGAATCTGTTGAACATTGAATACCTGATTGATTTTTTATAACAATTGTAGGATGATAATCAGTTGCAGTATTTAGATTATTAGAGTTTCTATTGAAAGGATTTGAACGTTTAGAGAAAAGAGATGATTTCACTAGTGAAAGAGTAGAGTTTCTATCAATTGATTGATTAGTTGCTATGAGATTATGATTTGTTTGTTTCACTGTAGTCAATGCTTTGTAATGGTCCTCTAAATCTTCTAATGTTAAAGTTATATATTCAATACTACATCGAGAGATAGCACGCATCCAATCCTTGAAATAATAATCACAATGGAGGTGAATATGTGAAAGCAACCAGGGGAAAGAGTGTGTGTGTGTGTGCGAGAGAGAGAGAGAGAGAGAGAGAAAAAAAAACCAATGTTAGCGAACTTGATAAGCTTATGGAGAATAAAATTGTCTCCGAAACATAATCAAGTGAGTGATACCGTTTCATTGATCGACTGAAACAGTTTACCATTATACTCTAATGAGTTGACATCGGGTGATAGACAGACAGACAGACAGACAAAAGCAACATCACTATTTCCTATCATCTCGCGGACCCCAATCAAGTAGTCTACAGGACCTTACATGACTTAAACCAACGATCAGGGACTTTATTGACTGGTGTGAGGTCTTGTTCTGGCCATCCTGAACCCTCTACTAACCTAGTCCAGCATGGTGCATCCAGCTAGGCGGTGGCTCGGCATGCGCATTACATATGTCCAAGTCATCTAAGTTGATTAAGGTTGACAACCTTGTTGACCAATTTCCCTGTCTTGCTTAGTACCCTTCACCTGACCTCCATACTACTCACACAGTGATTTCATCAGATGCGAGCAATGCTCCAGAGGCATCCTGTGATAAAAACCCAGTAATCGCTACATGTCTTCCACTTTTGACGGTCATGTCTCAAAGCCATATAAGAGGATAGAACGTAGTATATTCATCCTTTGATACGTAGTCAGATATTTCGCAAGTCATGGTTATAGAGGGAGCGAATTGGCAAATACCAAGCAAGCCTTACCTATCAGAGCGGAAATATTGTCAGGAACTAACACTTTCGGGTTGATACAACTCCCCACTCTACTCCTTATCATTAAACTGCGAGTAGTTGCAGACTAGTCCTAGGGCATCTTTGTTAGATTTGACAGGTGCTAGACACATGCTTACTCTAACTCAGCCACATGGCCTTCAGGGAGTAGATCAATCCTTGTGGAATCACATGTACCTAAGGTTATTTCCATTAATACGTCTATAACGAAGTTACACAGGGGTGGAGACAGTGGCCATCCTTGTCAGCTGTCGTCAATTCTGATGAGATCTCTCTATAAGCATGAACACATTAGAAGAAGGGTGGTAGAAAAGCTGTCTAATTGAAAGTCAACATTTTAAGTCATCCAGCCGATAAGGTAGGCATTTTTGCTTCATGTTACTGTGTGGTGAAGAAAAACCTGATTGGATAATCTTATCCTACAGTTAACCAATCAAAACTTCCGTTTATGGAAACTGTATATAAATGATGTACCTTTTGTTGAATAAAGTCATAGGATGGTCTTCGTCACGTGATATTGACAAGTCTGTGAAGTATAAGACATTGACGGAGAACAGTCGTTATCTGTATCGCAATCTAAGCGTCCCATCGCACTGAATATCATTCGTTCCCGTATTTATTATTATTATTAATACCCGCTCGACAGCCTCGAAAAAGGACTAAACTTCAACGTGACAATGGGTCATCCAAAAACCAGAAGATGTTATACGTAGCACAGAAGTGGCGTTAAGCTCAGTGGATGCAGCAACAGCTGAACAGGTTAGAGCACAGTGTGCATTAACACTGAAAAGATAAAAGAAAAGACAGCGGAACTCTACAAAACTTGAAAATTCAGCTCTGAGTAGCCTATGGAATGACAATAATATAGTAATTGTTAAGTTTGATAAAGGCAATTCAACAGTAGTTATGGACAAATTGGATTACTTCAACAAAATTGACGAACATATCCAAACAGGATCATATGAAGAAACTAAGAAGCCTTTAGATACGGTCATGAATAAAATCAGGAAATCTACAGCCAATCTGATACGTCGACTAAAGCCATCTCTCTAGGTGAGTCTAAATGGTTTAATTTAATGCCTTAAACTAATAATCCTAGCAGAATTTATGGCACTATTAAGGTTCATAAACGAGGTTATCGTATTAGACCTATAGTTGACTTCAGAAATACCCCAACATATGAACTAGCAAAGTACTTAGCCTCGATACTGTGTCCTATTAAGAACAGTTCAAATTCCAGACTACTAAACTCTTACGAGTTAAAACTTAGGGCCTTATGATTTGCATATAGAAGAGGATGAAAAAAATGGTTAGCTTCAATGTAACTAGTCTGTATACTAAAATACCAATCAATATGGCACTGGAGGCAGTCAGAAGTCAACTAAATATTGACTCAAAACTTACTCACAGAACTAAGATATCGGTTGATGAGAGAGATTATATTAGGCATACAGTTATGCCTGACTTCCATAGTCTTCAAGTTTCAGGATAAAATATACAGACAAACACAAGGAGTTGCAATGGGATCGCCAATACCCCCAATTGTAGCAGATATATTTATGAGGAGTTGGGAAAATATGGCTTTACGATAATATGGTGGCGATATATGGATGACACACCTACTGTGTTGAACTCGGAACATATCGACAATTTCCTCACACACAACATAAACTTAGCAGTAAAACGCAATCCAATTCACTTACGAGAAGGTAGAAAGCGAATCAGAAGAATCACCTGTGTTGAATTGCAGGATAAAACGAAGGACAGATGGTGGTTTAGTGAATACCGTCTACAAAAAACCAACATATTTCAACAGGTATCTAAACTTTTTAAGTCATCTCATCCAATGTCAGTCAATGAAGGTTGGTTTAATCAAATGTCTAAAGGATAGAGCTAGAAAACTTAATTGTCAGTGGAAGGACCTAAATGAGGAACTCAAGAACTAACAATTATTTTTTCATCATCATCATCATCATCATTATCAACATAGGACCAGGCATTACTGCGTAACGGTCCGAGTTGCCACACCTCATATCAGCACATCAAGTAAAAAGGTAGTGAGGTGAAGGATGAAGATAAGTGAATGCAGTCAAAAGAAATATAAAGTATGAGAAGAAAGGAAAGAGGAGTGACAAAATAGTGAGATTCGGTATAGCGTTGTTAAGATGAGGATAATGTGTGTATACATCTGCGCCACTGACTTCGGTTCTGAGCCATATCACCTAGGGTCTCCAACCACTGGTTCCTCTTGTCCCGCGAACAGACCCCAACCACCTAGTCTGCATCGTCCTACATGGCTTAAACCAACAGTCAGAGACTTCATACATTGGTGCCATGTTTTAGTCTGGCCACCTCGAGCCTTTTTCCAGCCTGGACCCACCTCAGCCAACATTGTGTGACGAGGCAATCGGTGACTAGGCATACGTAGTACGTGTCAGAGCCAACCATCTCAGTCGATGAAGGTTCACAACCTCGTCAACTGACTTACCTCTTCTCCCTAGAACTCTACACCTGACTTCTGCATTACTCACATGGTGACACCACGGAATACGTCCTATACTACGAAGGCAACGGTGGTCAAACACCTGAAGCCTTTTTATATCCTCCACTTTCAATGGCCATGTTTCACAGCCATACAGTAGAACAGAGCGGACTGCTGTGCAGTACACGCAACCCTTAATAGACAAACAATTATTTTTTACAGTTTATGAAAAAATTCATATGAACACACAAGAAATGAAGTGATAACAGTAACACGAGTACGAATAATAACGACAACACGAGTAGGAAGGAGTTCACAGCCTCCAATGTATTACCCTATGAGAAAGGTACATCAGAAACTTTACATAGGATCCTCAACAAAGCTGGAATTAGAGTGGCATTTAAACCTACAAACTCACTTCGAGATAAGCTTTGTCGACTGGCTTAAAGATTCGATAGAACTAATTCAGCAAAATGATCTAATCTATCAAATACCATATAATGACTGTGTCAGGTCAAGTACATAGAACAACCTAACCAGTAGAGGGCAATCAGAACAGTGGAACATAGGAATTTAGCTAAGTTTAGAATGACAGACCCCAATATGATCAGTAATCTAGAAGGCGAATCAGCTATCCCAATACACGCATTGCCATACAATAGGGTGGGATAAAACCACTGTAGTCAAGTCCAATATAATCAGGTGGAGAAAGAGAGAGAGATTGATTACTGTGTCTTTGATCATCGAATCAACCCTCACCTAATACATGCATGTAATAGAAATGACGTAACACCCATGTGTACCAGAAATATGGAAAACTTTACTACTGTTCAACACAAACAATAAGAGGTGACAGGACTATAAACATCAAAAGTCGAAAGTGGAGTGTGACTACACATTCATGCGATTATAACCAATAGACAATTGATGCTCGAAACGTCATCCAGTGAGTAATACTGTATCACTGTATGTTATAAATCAAATAAACAAATGTAATAGGGAATTATTCACCTGGTCGCTTCATAGGGGTTGATTCCAAACCGTTACTTCAATAGGCAGAAGTAAGATACCTAAGGGATTTCGGTTACAGCTTCACCTAGGACACAGTTGAATATCATCGTTTAGGCAAGTTGTTATTACAACAGAAACAACAATTGTGGTAGAAAACTATTATAGAAAATAACAAATTAGACCAGGTGTAGATAGATATGTATTAGTTAGTGAACGATATGCATAGTGTAGAGGTAAACGATGCCAATTCTCACAAGTGAATCCAAGCAGATGGAGTGAAACTTTAGTTGATAATAAGATCTGGTGACCCCACCCCGAGGGTGCATTGACCAGATATTTACACTGCGCTAGGCTCTGGAACATGCGCACGTTTACCGACGCCTGACACTGGGTGTATTTCCCGACCTGTAGGCGGCATTCACCTCCGTTAACCGAGAAGTCTTATGGCAATGTCTCTCACCGACAGGCGTGCCGAGTAAGTACATCACCTTATTGAAGGCTCTCTGTTCGAACACTTGTGGGGGTGTTAGAGCGTATGATGAGATGTCCAGGGAGCTATGCTCATCAAGTGGTGTCCGTCAAAGCTGCCCATTTTCTTCATTCTTACTCAGTTTTATCACAGATATTCAAATGGAGGTCGCCCTCTCATCACCTGATTATAAAGAGGTTGACCTAATCACAGGAGAATTTTCGTTAGACCTAGAATATGCAGATGACATAGTCCTGTTAGGTGAAAACGCTGACAAGGTGCAGAGTCCTCTGAACGCTTTGAGTAGCAAATTGAGTATGTTTGAAATGCGTTTCTCACCACCCAAATGCAAACTGTTGCTCCACAATCGGTCTTCAACGGTGCCCCACCGCAGCTAATAATAGAGAGTGTAGTGGTTGAGTGTGCCGACCGTTTCACTGACTTGGGAAGTGGCATCGACCCTGGTGGGTGGCTCAGTGGCCCATGAAATCTCGGCAAGAATACAAAAGGCTCGATTGGCTTTTGCCGACTTACGCCATCTGTGGCTCCGCCACGATATTTGATTGTCTGTTAAGGGTCGCGTGTACTCCACAATAGTCCTCTCTGTTCTACTCTATGGCTGTGAAACATGGCCACTGAAGGTGGAAGACATGAGAAGGCTTCGGGTGTTTGACCACCGTCAACCCCGTAGTATTTCGCGGTGTCACCATGTGAGTAATGCAGAAGTCAAGTGTAGAGTTTTAGGGAGTAGAGGTAAGTTAGTTGACGAGATTGTGAACCTTCATCGACTGAGATGGTTGGCTCAGACATGTGTTACGTACGCCTAGTCGCCATCTGCCTTATCACACAATGTTGGCCGAAGTAGGTTCAGGCTGGAAAAAGGCTCAAGGCGGGTAGACTATAACATGGCACCAGTGTATGAAGTCTTTGACTATTGGTTTGAGCCATGTGAGGCGATGCAGACTGAGTGTTTGGGGTCTGTTCGCGGGACAAGAGGAACCCAGTGGTTGGAGACTTACTCTAGGTGATATGGCTGAGAACCGGTATCAGTGGCGCAGATGTATCGCCAAACACATTATTCTCATCTTAACGACGCTATACCAAATCTCACCATTTTCTCATTCTTCCCTTTTCTCCTTTAGTACTTTGTATCTTTTTTGATCGAATTTTCTTTTCTTCATCTTCCACTTCACCGCCTTTTTACTTAATGTACTGATATGAGGTGTGGCAGGAAGTTGGACAGTTACGCAGTAATGCCTGGTCCTTTGTTGATAGATGATGAACCCTATCTGGGGACTGGAACTGGAAGGCAAGATAAATGAAATGAAGAGCCATGTGTACTATAGGCTCAATGCACACATACACACTTACCTCTATTTCTTCAGCTGTTTCCCCCTTCAAAATATAACTACGACATATTTCACCAGGTCCTCTGAATCGAATAGCCATCTTTAAGTCATCCAACATTTCAACGATATGACAATCCAAAAATATGATACCCAATGGTTCTTTATCCAATTTCTTATCAAAATATGCCAAAATATTACCACATAGAATAAAGTATCTTTTTTTATAAGATTTTTTCTGTTCAGAGCGTTTCTTCCATAAGAAGCCGACTTTCTCTTCTTTTTCATAAGTTAAAAAGTTTGTAACTGTTTTAGGATTGAAAATAGGCATTTAAGTAGGTGATGAGTAGAAACTATGCAAATTCATAAACAATAGTCAAAGATAGAGTATTTTCATATTGGGCATAGAATAGTCATATCAACTGGTAATTACATCGTGTCGAGTATACAGAAGAGTCAATCAGGCAGTAAGTAATCAACCTGTAAGAAGATGGAAGGAAAATAATGCATGAAATTAAGTGGTAGAGTGATAAACAAAATATGACGAAGAACAATAAAACGAAGGTACTGAAAGAAGCCTAGGCAACAACTAAGCAACTATACATATATTAGGCTATCACATGAATTGGATCTATTGGTATGTCTATAAATGAAGTGAAATTTGAAGGTGTGAAAGTTCAGTGTTTAAATTATTAATCCAGAGATCCGTTGTAAAGTCTACTGTACACCTTGAGTGGCAATTTAAGAATACTTGAGATAAGTTTCCCGCTACCCGAATGTTAGTCAAGAAACTGGTTTTTATTAGTGTCTTATATGGCAATAGAAAGTCGAATAGTTGAAGTCAAACCAGAGCCCTAGTGAGTCAGTGGTCGATACGATCTCGGCAAGCATACAAAAAACTTATTATCTTTGCCAGCTTACACAATTTAAAGAGCTGGCATGATGTTCGATTGCTTAATGTGTTGCAGTTCTCTCTTTCTTACTATATGGGTGTGAAACATGGCTAGAGAACAGAAGAAAGCTTCAGCAGTCCGACCATCGTTGCTTTCACAAAACAGACCGCATATCGTGGTACCAGCATATCAGTAACATAGAAGTCAGGCATGGTATTTTAAGCAAAAGAGCAAAGTAAGTTGATAAGGTTGTGAACTTTCACTGAATTAGATAGGTGGCGCATGTATTACGCATGCCTATTCCCCATCTACCTTATCATACACTGTTAGCTGAATTATTTTTACGCTGGAAAAACGTTAGGGGGGGGGAATATACTAAAACATGGTATCACTTTATGAAATCTTTAACTTTTGACCTGACCCGTGTACAGGAATGTTGACTCTACGTCTATGGTCCGCGCTTGCGGTAACTGAGAACGATTGGGGACTTCAAGTGGTATGAATCTAAATCGATGTGAGTAGTGCAGGTATATCCATCTATTACCTACACTGGGATCATCATACTGATTTCAGTATTGTATCATTTCTTCTTGTTCTCTTTCGACGGTTTTCTACCACTTTTGACTGTTTTCTTGTTGAATTTCTCTACTTTCCACTATTTTGTGCTGAAATGAGGCATGGCAGCTTCAATCACTAAGCAGTAATGTCATGTTGTATTTTGATATTGTTTATCTATCTGTCCATTTGTTTTTCAGTGTCGCAATCAAAAATGTCACTTTTACGTGACATGATAACATCGTGTTACTTAGCAAAAGTGAATAAATTTCACTCTCTACCCGATACATTTTGAGTATTACTGAAGACCATAATTACACTTGGTCGGTAGGATGGAAGAGACAAGGGTACTAGACAAGATAGGCAAGTCAATTGATGAGGTTGTGAACCTTAGTCGACTGAGATGACATGAACATGTACTGTGCATCCCAACCCACCGCCTTCCTCGACGTGCAGTGCTAGAGAAAGTCGAATTAGGTTGGAAGAGGGTTCAAAGTAGTCAAACCAAGACGCATCATCAGTTGGATGAAGTCACTGACCCTTGGTTCGAGTTGCGTAAGGACATGTACACTGTCTGGTTGGGGGTGGTCTCTGAGATGATAGGAATCAGTGGTTGATGATTCTTGGTAACATAGTTGAAAATTGGTCACAGTAGCGTAGATGTATTCAGTCTTTGGCGTCTTCTAAGGCTTGGTTATTTGCACTAACCGTTTTCCTCAAATTGTTTATTCTCTCATACAACTTTGTCTACTTTGACATCTCTCTTTTTCTATCCACTTGTTTTTTGTATACCACTGTACTGTGAAGTGTGGCACCTTGGAGTGATGCAGTTGTGTCAGGTTCTACGTTGATTTTGTCTGTTTGTTTTGACAACCTCCTCTAACTTCCATAGTTTTATTCAGTTCAATAACTTTACTGCCAAGCTGTACACAGTCATGTTGATTAGTATTCATTTATTTATGTTGATTGAACAACTTTTCATCGCCTATAAATACGATTGTACAGTTTGATAAAAAAAAAGTTGTTGGAAAGAAATATCTTTTCGCTGATAAAAATCTTTTAAAAACTAATATTCTGTTTAGCATATAAACTATCACCATTTGATTGGTAGAAGAAACCTATATATCAGAGTACTGCTGATGAACTGATTGTTTCTTGGCTCAATTCGCCGTTTGAAAATTCAGTAGATGTTTACCTTATGAGAAAGTATTGACATAAAATTTACTCATACCCTAGTGGATAACCCTTTGAAGTGATGGGTATGAGGTTTAAGCCTCCTCAATGGGAACAACATCACTCACTGGAGTGCCGATACATCCAGCTGACGAGACCCAAATAAGACGAAAAGCGTGTCAACTTGGATTTCACTGCTATCTATTAAATAGACTACAACGTAATGAATATCCGTAATGAGTATCCGAGGCATCCGGATAAGAACCCATATGTCAATAGACCCCGATCAATTCGATCCACTCAACGACGGGATAATACAAGCAACAACATTAAAACTATACCGGTTGCACAAGAAGTGGCTATTGTGATTCAGTGGTTTAGTAGATAACTCTCTGGTGTTTGAAGCGATCAATCCCGATTTGGAGTCCTAATGCGGACAACTTCGCTCACTGGGAGGCTAGTACATCCAGATGATGAGTCCCAAATAGGACGAAATACGCATCCTGGATTCCACTATCCATCATTAGAATATAAAATTAACCTTGTTTTACATTCGGACACATAGACGACGTGCAATAATGAAACTATAGAATCTTAGATTCCATTATAATTATTAGTTTATTAGAACACAAACGTGGTACAGCAAGGATACCAAGAAATGCGCCACACAAAGTAGTATAAAAACATCATGAAGACATAAAGCGAAGGGAAGCGGATAAAGAAAAACGGAAAACACAATAAGCACAGCATGATTAGAATGGCAGTCTAATAAGATGCATTCAAAACAAAACACTCATTACTTTTCAGAAGTAGGCGATAGGAGAAAGCTACAGTATGACCGCCATTGGTTTCGATTCTGAGCCATGTCTGATAACGTCTCAAGCCACTGAGTTGTGTGATCTCTCGGACTCCATGCGGAGAGTCATGATGAACAAACAGATGCTAACCCGATACAATTATTCTTCATCCCACACTGCCATGTTATACACCCCTTGGCTTTTTATATCCAGCTCCATGACTAGAAAATAATGAACGATGTGGAAGCCATTGGAAGGACATCCATAATATATGTCCATGTCAACGAAGCCGGTGTTTCCAGACGACTTCACTTATAGAATAACGATCTGTATCATGCCAAAACACACGCTTTCGTACCTCAGAATTACTTACATCATGTTGCCACCGGATACGAACGATCCTAAGGAGACAACGATGATCGAACACACGAAGTCGTCGCATATCCTCAGCTCAGAGATACCAGGTTTCACAGGCATAGAGCAGAACTGCTCGAGCCAAAGCGTTGTAAACCTGACCTTTTACGGTCTGACTAACATCGCGATATGCGGTTGGAAATTTCATCACACACAACTACTCAGATACAAGGACTTTTCGACTACTTCCAACGGCTCACTATCGACGGTGAGTGCACGCTCCTACTAATCATTCAAGAGAAATTTGCACTTTAATGGTGGAAAGCACACAGCATACTTACAGATACTATAAACCACTAACCAACTAAGAGTAGACATTCTGGGATAACTAAGGAGATATTTGCAAAGTTCAAAGATTGTACTATTACCTTCAGTTATTATTTCTTGATGAATTTATTCAAATCCAAACAGATAGTCAAAATTCTTTGGAAGTGAATACTTCTTCTCTCTAACTGTGACAGTTTCTTCCTTTTTAACTTCACTATATATCTACACTGCATATTTTTCTACCTAACAATAGCAGATACTCTGAACGAAGATAGAGTTGAACTATTGTGACTAAACTATAATCTTAACTATTAAGTGATAGGTGAATGTAAGTGGGTGAAATGCTAATAAAAATTTAGAGTTCTGTCGATTTTTATCACTTGCCTACACACTTCAAGTAATATCAGATGGGGGTAATTGAAACATAGAACACAAAACATGGGAGAATATATGCTTTATCAAATAACTTCTCACTTTTATCATCAGAAAACACGCTAAAAAGCAAAGTGTTTTCAAAAATAATAGATTGTCTGGAAAATCATACAACTTTTAAAGACTCATGTATAACCAAAGTTCATAAGTTTTGTTGGCTTTCTTCTTGAAGCCTCATTTTTAGGTAACCTACTATGTTTATTATTAAGCAGATAATAAGAACTTGGTATTGAAAGAATAAGTAACAAGGAACTCTGGTCGGGCAACGAACCAACCAATAACCTACCGCTCAACAAATATGCAGAAGGGAATGGAGATGGATTGGACATACACTGAGAAGACCATTTGGGGACATCATGCGCCAGGTCAGTTGCTCGAGTGGGTGAGAAACGAGTTAGACGTCTTAGTTGAGGGTGACATGAAGGAGATGGTGTGAGTAAGAAATGAGAGCTTGTGGGCAGTTGTAGAGCCAGGTTGAAAAGATTGCAGGGAAGAGAGTGGAATGGAGACGTGCTACTGAATCCCTATGTTCCACTACGACCCCAAGGGATAAATAATAATAATAATAATATACTAAAAGGACTTGGGAAATGATTTTGGTGCGCTTCATTCTTGGTTTCTGTCACATCATTTCAGCTGTCAAGTTATGTAACAGACAGGTCCCTATCGAAAGCTGTCAACCTTGATTTGGTACTTACACTGATCTATTGCAATGATGCAATGAACTATTTTGGCTGTGAAGAGTTTTATGAGGTCTTACTATGCCCGAAAGGTCTGTTTGACAGTGATGGGACAAAAAG